CTCTCGCCGCTTGCCTCGCCCGGCTCAGTCCTGGCCGCCGGGCGCACCCGTCCCGTTCGTCCCCGGACGTTGCTCTCTGCCCCGGGAACGTCGAGACTGGAGCGCCCGAACTGAGCCACCTTCGCAGACCCCGCGTGCGGCGGTCCGACTCACCGCGGAGGCGTCCGGACGCGTAAAGTGCGTACTTTCAACCCTAAATCTGTGTTGGGGGTTTTAGGGGTGCGGGGCAACTCTCCAACTCCGTAGGGCCCTGGCCAGCCCTGGCCAGATCTTCTGATTTCTTATTTGCGCGCAGCGCGGGACCAGCGACCGGGACTCAGGGGCAGCGGGGCGGGGAAGTGCCTTGGCCTGGGGTCCCTGAGGCCAGGAGCAAGTCCCGCTTCTCCTCGGCCCGCTGAACCCCTCGGGGCAAGGCCTGGGCCCGGTCGCGAGCGGTCTGTCTGTCGTCCGGGGACCCGAGCTGCCCGGGACGCCCTCGCAGTCGTGGGGACTGGTCTGGGTCGGCGGGGCCTGAGCCCCAGCCGAACCCGCAGCTGCTGTGTCCCGTGCGCCGCCCGCCTCGGGGACCAGAGCCAGAGCCTAACTTCTCAGGACCGAGACAGCAGGAGCGCGCGGGCCGAGGTGGGAGCTGGCTGCTCCTGCAGGGCGCCGGCGAATCGCTTTTAGGAAATGAGCCGGGAGAAGTCCCTTGCCGGGTAGGGGCCCAGTGGGCGCTCAGGTAGACGCCCCGCCGAGGTGGAGTCCTTCCCTCAGGCTTGTGCGGTGCAGGCCGGGACCCTCTGCCTCACGCGCTCGCTCGTACCCTCGCATGGGACCAGTGGCTGGGGGAAGGGAGGCAAGTGAGTGTAGCTCCTTCCCCTTCTCTCGGGCAACTTCTCTGCTGTCTTAGGCAGGGGTGCACTCCCCAAGAACACCCCACCTTAGAAGGAAGCCAGTCCTGTCTCCCGCTCTTCTCAGCTCCCCCACACTGCCTCTCCGGTGAGCCAGGGAATTCTCCTTGAGCCCAACCTGGCGGAGGTGGGTGGGGCCGGTGTCCCCCTGGTCCGTGCTCTTTTTCAACCCGGCATCTGAGCTTCCTTTCCTGGCCTCTTGCAGGGAAGAGGGTCTAGGAAGGAGAGTCTCAGAATTACCAAGTCTGAGAGGAGGTTTGAGGGGCTTCTGAGGTTACCCCTCCTGGACAGGGCCAAAGGGCTGATGGGGTCCCAGCTTTTGTTGGGCAGTCTTGCAAGCTGAGTCCATGATTTCTCGGAGGTGCCAGTTGGGGGGTGTGTCCAGCCTCCACCTACACAGGGTTTGGGGCACGGACCTGGGTCTAGTTCCACTCCACCCCCACGTCTATTCTCAGCAAATAGAAAAGCCACTTTGGGCTTTCTGTGCTGCCAGGGGTCCCATGGAGGTGGTGATAGTGTGTGCATGTGTGTGCATGTGTGCATGTGTGCATGTGTGTGCGCACATGGATGCACGTGTGCGTGTGTGAATGGGTGCATGTTTGCATGTGTGTATGGAAGGCATGGTCTGGGGCAAATGTCAGACCGAGCCCTCTGTCCCCCACGCAGGCCCTGCTTGACACACTTGTAGCCCCAGGGATGCCCAGCAAGGCAGCGCTCGCCAGGGTTGCCAGCAGTCTGGGGCCTGTTGCCGCCTCCTGGGCTGTCTGGCTTCGCTCCACCTTCAGGGTTCCAGAGCAGTGGGCCAGGCGCTCCCACAACCTCCTTCGCAGGTGCACACAGACCCAGGGTCCAGGCAATGAGGCCTTTGGGACACAGACAGGTTTAGTGGCTCCCTTCTCACCACCTTGCTTCCCCTCCCTCTTCTCTCCTAGACCCTCCCTGCTCTGCAGCAACCCCTGCACCTCCCTCCCCTCTCTCTGGGCAGATCCCTAATTCACCTTAGACCCTGTCCTTCCTATCAGTCACCCCTACCGTCCCGCCCAGTCCCAGTGGTCAGGAGTAAGAGTACTGGCCTAAGTCCAAGACCCACCCTGGACTTGGGTGAGTGCCAGGCACGGTCCGCAGGCCTGGCCACTGGGGGGGCCAGAGCTGGAGCTGGGGCTGCAGTCCTGCCTCAGGGCCTGGCTGGGCCTCCCTGCTCCCTGTCTGCCCTCTCACAGATCCAGCAGGGGGCGGGCGGAGGAAGGAAGAGGAGGGAAAAGGCACTGGGTCCATCTGGTGTCCAGGAGCAGGCCCCTGGCACAGCCTAGACAGGGCTGCCTGCTCATGACAGGGAGGGCGTGGTGGCCCCCGCTCTGCCCCCACCCCCGGTGCCCTCTGTGCAGCTCTGCGGAGGGTGTTCAAGAGGACCTGGAGAAGTGTCAGAACTGCAGGTGTGCTCCTGGGACCTCGCTGGATCCAGCGCCAGCGGCTTCCTTGGTGTCCTTCGTGTCCCTGCCTCCGCCGGCCTCTGGATGCTTTCCTGCTTCGGAGCACCCACTCATGCTGTTCCCTACCCTCCCCCTCCACCACCCTCACCTCCACCTGGACCCTGATTGCCACACTCCCACCCACCTGGAGAGCAGATCGCACTGTCCTGGGCCTCCCATGCCCTGCACTGCCCACACCTGCCTGGGGGCCTCAGCAGCCCCGCTACCGTGTCTTCTGCGTCTGCTGCTGCTCCTGCTGCCCCTGCCAGGCTGACCCGCAGGGGTCCTCTGCGGCCATTACCCTGAACCGCACCCAGCACCCAGCACCCAGCACTGGGAGTGCCCAATAAACCTCTGTGATGTGAGCTGAGGAGATGAGTGTGTGTGGACTTCCTGAACTCCTGTGGGAGAATTTCAAGACATTTCATTCTGCCCTTTTGCACACCGCAGTGGCGAGCAAGGTAGGGCGCGGGCAGCTGGGCTGAGTGAGGTCATTCCGGATCTGTGGCCCAGAGCAGGGGGCAGTCCTGGGATGTCGCTGTTGGGTGTGGCGTCTAATGAGCACACCCATCACCGGGCCAATCTGTTTCCCTCCTGGCTACTTGGGCCCGCCCACGAAAGGTCAACCAACACTTCCTATTCTTTAAAGAATGCTGTCTCCTCTCTGAACTTTTTCACATGGACACCTTGCAGGGGAGGTGGTTGAGGGCTCAGAGACATCCCAGCAATGTCCCCAACACAGCAGGTCTTCATCTCTGAGAGTCTGAGGCAGGAGTGGGGGGACGCCGGGGCCTGGGATGGCTGGGCACCTGGCAGCTGGGCTGGAGAGCTTGTGGACTGGGCAGGGTGTTTTGGCAACCTTGGTGGGTGGGAGGAGGCCCGGGGCTCAGGGCCAAGGAGAGAAGGCCCAGGGGCCACTGCCCTGGCCTTTCTCTGTGTGACCTGGGCACGTCCTGTCCTTCCCTTGGGCCTCCTCCACATGGGAAGGGTATTGGGTGGCACTTCCCCTACTGTCACTCCAGAGCTCCAGGAGGTTCTTGGACATTCGGAGTCCCTTCCTGCCACTGCTTGCTGCCCTGGGGCCAGGAGACGCCCTACCCCACTTGCAGCCTAAGGTGTGCCTGCTGGGCCCCCCCCCACTCCCTGGACCTCCATTCTTGCCGCTTACTCATGGGGCTGTCTTTCTCCTGCCACAGTCCTGGGTCCTGTCTTTGTGGCCTGTCCCTACCCTCGATCAAGCTCCCTGGTGCTCACCAGCCCTGGAGGCGGGGTGCGGTGACAGCCTGAAGCTGCCCCAGGGGACTGGGCCCTGCCGGGTGCTGCACCACTCCAACCAAGGACAGGCCCTGATCCGAGTTCTGGGGCTGGCTCCTTTTCACGGCTGAGCCTCTCTGGAAAAAGTGGGGTGCCACCCAGCAGCAGATGGGTACCTGGCCCCTTTGCTGCTCTGAGCCTGTTTCTTCCGCCACGGCAGGCCTGATGTCTCTAATGTGCCTTTGCCATGACACGAGCAAATGCAGGGTGCATACGTGTGCGTGCATGTGTGTCTATGTGCATGCATGCATCTATTTATACCCAGCCTTGTTCCAAAGGGGATTTGGGGAGGCTTCTCTTTGAACATCTCTTGAAAAACACTCTTCTTCCAGGAGGCTTTGGAATGCCAGAGATAACACAGGTGGGAAGAGGGCAGAAACATGAGAGAGGGCATGGCTCCCTCTTGGGGACACAGCACAGC